GGATGGCATTGGAATTCAAAGTGAGAATGACCTCAAAGGAGAAGTGTGCTTGTGCCCCTTACGGGAAGATTGATCTCCAAATCCTGTTGTACGTGGACTGAACATGGAGAAAGGATGACTGAAATCGGCCCTCTGATGCTGTTCATCGTATGTAGCATTTTCTATGTTCTCTGAAGCTTCTGCTCACTTCTCTGTTTGTCTCTTTAAAGATGAAGTAAAACCTTGCCAAGCCTGCTCTAGCTTATCTGCTCACACCAGTTGGACTCATTTCTTTTATTTGTTTAATCAGTTCCATCTTAGGGTGACTTTAACTTGCTTTTGTTTTTGTGTTTGAAGCAATTCAAATCATACTATTTCTTACTCCAAGTAAATTTTTCATGTAACATGATTCTAAGTATTATTCTCATCAGTCTTTGACTCAACAATAATGTTCAGTTTTTTACAGTTTGATGTAGCTTTCATTTCTTAGAAATGCTTATTACTATTGTATTGACAGCTATTTCATATTATATTGTATTAACATGGAAAATGTATTGACAGAGCCACACTCGGGCTTTGCTCTTATTAAGATGATCACTTCGCCTACACAAAATATAGACTATCCAAGAGATACCTCTGTATGAGAATTTGAGTCTTTTAATTATTGTGTATCTTCATTTCATTTTTAAAGTCTACTTGTATCTTAAGTTTCCTCATTTCTCATCAATCTTTTTAAAGCATATACTTAAAAATTAATGTATTTTTTTTATTTTCATCATCAGATCATCCTTGTCCCCTAGTACTTTAATTTTTAGTTAGCTTATATTACCTTTCTTTTTACGGAGTTTTATTTTACCTGCAAAACTTCACCTGTCATTTTTTTTTCTTTATTTGCTCCTCCCAAATCTTTTTTCTCTGACAAAGCTTGGTATTTGGGTATGAAGACTGGTTATTCTGTAGGTAATAAAATCAGTCTTGTGCTTTCATGAAGGTTATCAAAATATAATACTATTAGCTTTCAAATTCTTTCTCCACCTCAGGTCTTCTGCATTTAATTCAAATGCATTTTCCAGAAAAATGTCTTAATTCTTTCAAGTTCATATGCTCCTAAATATTGGGAGTACATGAATCCATAGCATTGCCAAATGCAGATAACCCATGATTACAAGACTCACTGTAGTAGGCTGACTATAGGAAGCCCATCTCTGTCAGTAAAATAATGGCCTCTACATAATTCAGAGGATTTGTTGTTTGTCCTCCAGTGTCGCCCTAATGAAACAGTTTTGGATTTTCTTGTACTCTTTAAAACAGCTTTCTACAAAGTACAAATTTGGACTTGATTTAAATGCGGTGAACCAAGAAATCAGCTACTCTGTAATCAATACAGAAATCAATGCTGTAATAGTGAATTATCTGAGAGAGCTTCCTCTTTTCCTAGCACTCATTTGGGATGTGTCCTGGGAAATCTGTGACACAAGATCATGGTGGTTAACATGGTACTCTAAAGGCAATTTCTACTAAAATAAACGTTTGTGGAACAAAATGCTTTTCTGTAAATCATTGAGCAAAATACTGAGGGAACTAAAACTAATCCCTCCTCCCCCATACACTTAGTTATATTTTGGAAGGAGGAGGTAAAATAATGAAACAACACGGCACTTCTCAGAGCTATAGATTTTCAACAAATTACTTCTATAAAGCTATGAAATATATACGAGGAGATATTTTTGAAGACCCTCAAAATCTTTTAAGACATAATAATGTCATTAATAATTCAGATTTATTAATTACTCCAGAAGTAATGTATTGAAAATGAGGGTACATTGTATACTGGAAAGTATCATCATATAGTTAAAATTTTATTAACGGAAAATCATGTTGTATAAATATGTATAAAAATACTATAGTAAACTGAAAGCATCTTTGCAGTTTCCTTTAAGAAAAAGCCTAATCCTTGAATAATTCCTTGACTCTCGTATATGAGAGAAACTCACAAGGTTTATTTTTCAGGTCTCAAAGAGCTATTTTGTCTGGAATCCTAAATACATCTAAAAGAAATGTAAGGAATACTGTTTTATTTTATGTCCTTCTCTAACAAAAAAAAATCTTTAGTTGGTGATTAATATTATTTAGAGTCCATAATAAAAGCTCCTGGATACAGACTTGTTTAAGGGCATAGCGCAATAGAGTAAGTTACAAAACTAGGACTTTAGGTGAGGGAAGACAAAGCAAACAGAATTTGGCCCACAAATTGACAGATTTGGAGAGGGCAGGAGTGGTAGGAAAAAGGGCGGGGGAAGGAGGTGGTTTTAACTTAAATGATAGACAGAACTAAATGACATGAAAAGAACTGTCATGCTCTTAAAAAAAAAAAAACTTTATAGGCTTAAATAGATGATAGGTGGCTGGAAAGAGAATATACCCACTCACGGTCCTGAAGTTTCCGATGTATTTGCGTATTTGGCTGAGGACATCCAGGCGTGGTGGAAACCAGCTGTCCACATAGTCCAGCAAGTCTCAGAGCAGCTTCCCTTGGCTACCAGAGCCCCCAAAAGAGAAATATACAACTGTTAATACTAGCTGCAAAAGGTAAGACTTTTAGGTCCGGGAAGCTTTATCTTGTCCTGTATTTTTTAACACCAGGGACATACATCACTATTTAGGAAGAACTTGGACAATATTTGCCTTTATTGGAAAAAACAGTTAAGATATCTAGGACTCTCTGGTTCTCTAGCCTAACTCAGCAGCAAGCTCACAGAGAAGAAAAAGCAGAATGAATGCCCAGATATCCATGAGTGGTGTCCTGACTCCAGCTTTCTGGGGTTTCAGTAAGTCTGTTTCCCCCCAAATACTCTTTCCTCCTTCAACCCCCATACCCCCAGATCACTACCCAGAGCAATACATTGATGGGATATAGAGACATGAATAATGAATTTATGGACAAGAAATCTTGGACAAGCTCCATACTTGCACAGATTTGAGAGGGGTGGTAAATCTTAGAGCTCTCTAAATGTAGCTCTTATACTACTACAGAGTAAAAATTCATGTGGAAAAAAAGCACTATAAAATTTATTTGCCCCTCATGATCTGCAAGAAGGTGATTCAAAATGGGGTAAACTATTTCCTAGCAAATTCTCTCAGTCACATTTTCTCCCTCCTTACCTATTATAATGTTTGGGATAACACTGGATGGAATAAGTCAGAAATGAGTTCCAGTCACAGCCAGCATTTCTGTTTGTACTTGCTATTCAAAGTGTGGTATGTGGACCAGTAAAATTAGTCTCATGTGGGGACTTGTTAAAAATGTAGACTCTTAGTCTTCATCCTATACCTACTAAATTAGAATCTGCATTTTAAAAAGACCCCTGGGTAATTCACAGCATATTATGTTTTGAGAAACACAACTTTAGGTAACTTTGGGCTGGTTACTGAATGAAACGCTCCCCTTCTTCGTTTCGCTTCAGTCAACTGTGTAGAAAATTTAAAACTGGAAGGAACCTATTATAAGGATTAGTGGTTTAGAGCATGAATTCTGGAGCTAGTGTCTGAGTTTGATTCCCAACTCTGCCACTTACTGTGTGACCTTGGGCAAGTTATATAGCTTCCCTGCGCCCCAATTTCCTCATTGATAAAATAGGGATTATAATCATATCTACTTCATGAAGTTGTTGTGAATAATCGCACTTAACAAATGGAAGTATTTAGATTAGTGCTTAGTACAGAGTAAGCATGATACAAGTATCAATTCTTATTATGACTTAAGATTCTTGATTAACTCCCATTCTAGAACAATGGAGATGCCAACTGACTAGTTTTTGAAAGATACTAGTGAGAGCTTTCTATTAGTGTAAGTTTGAAGAAGTGAGGAAAGCTCCATGGAGGAAGTGGGGATTTAGAATAGTTTTAGGGGATGACTAAATTTGATTAGAGACAAAAACCATTAAGGGCATTCCAGGTGAAACAGGCTTAGAGGCAGGAGTAAATATTTAGAGACAAACAGAGGAAAGCAGGGAATCATGGCTACTGGGTGCCAGGAATTTTGAAGAAGGCATGGGGTGACTAGAGCAGAAGGCTTGTTAGGCAGTTGAGGGGCTAAGATTGGATCTTCTTAATTCTAGACTGAAAATTGGGAGAGAGAGAGAGAGAGAAAGAGAGAGAGAGAACTGGCAAATAGAATAAAGTGATGCGGGAAAACATTAATAGGAAGGCTCAGAGGGAGAGAGAACAAAAGACATAAGCAAGATTGGTTATTAGACATAGAGAAAATATAGGGGAGGAGGCAATTATAGCTCCGGAATTTTAATCTAAAGGACCAGGAAGGTGAAGGCACTTTTAACAAAAATGAGAATATTAGTAGCATGCTGCTTTGAGGAAAAGATAGGTTTGTTTTTGAAAGTGTTGAGTACAAGTGATGGGAATACAGCCAATAAATGATTGGGCAGATGTAGTAGAAAGAGCTCCATTTGGAAAAAGGGACAATTATACTTTTACCTTTTATTTTTGTATTACTGAGCACATTAATACCATCAATACAAAAGTAAAACCTTAGAATTCTAGAATGACATTTTTGTTTTCTTTATACGTTTCAAATTCAATACATAAGTTTAAGTTAAATGAATTGCAGTATTGGTTTTTGTAAATCAATATGAAAACTTAGAAGACAATGAGTCTCAGATCCATTATCCATTATGCTGATCCTTGGATAACATTTATGCTGGCCTCAAAGGAATTAAGAACAAATGAAATATGTAGCTCTCAGACTTTTCTAGACACTCCTAGACCTAGAAGGAAAAGATCTTCATCTTTTTGTTCAGGAAATAGACTGGCACAATTCAGTGTCCATGAGACTACCAGTGGTCATCAATAATGTTGACCAGAGTCTCTTGCCTTTAGTGAAACAGGAGCAGAAAAATTGATTGGGAGGTGGCTGGTATGTTATCATAATACTGATCATTGGGTGAAAAGTGCATTTGTGAGCAAATCTAGTACTGCCTAGCAACTGTTTCTAGGTAAAGGGGACCTGGGAACCAGCTGTGGTTGCCTTCCAGGAGCCATCAGCCTGTTTCTACACACTTCATAAGATATCTGTTTTGGATTATTTGGATTCTAGTTTTAAGGTATAGTTTTCCTTAGCAAACTCTTAATACTAAATATTTTGCTTTTTAGTGATTGACACAATAAACCTAATATTACTACTTTTTGTCCCTCGCCAAATATAACTACATAGAGGTTTAACCATAAAGGAATAAATGTGTCTGAAGTCAGGAGCTTTGTATTTTACTTTTCTCTATTTTTTGGTTTTTGGAGGGTTTTTTTTATTGAAATTGACTTGAATCTATACATTACGTTGGGGAGAACTGACATCTTTATAATAATCTTATTGTATATATAATATGTATGTATGTATAATAAAGACATGATATATGTCTTTATTTATAATTAATGTCTAGTAAAGTTTATAATTTTTTTCTCATGAAGATCTTTTGCTATATTTATTCTTAAGTTCTTCACTTTTTTATTAGCATATAATGTATTATTTGTTTCAGGGGTACAGGTCTGTGATTCATCAGTCTTACACAATTCACAGTGCTCACCATAGCACATACCCTCCCCAATGTCCATCACCCAGCCACCCCATCCCTCCCACCCCCCTCCTGTATTTTAAAAACTGTTTGTGTCCATTCCTTTTAGGCCTGCCACATTCTTAAGTGGTCTAAGACCATACCCAAATTTACACCCTTTTCTGAGAGCATAAGATGTGGTATTAAACATATCCCAGAATCTTCAAACTTTTAACTCTCCTCCTGGAAAATCCATCTGTGGTCTTCTTGCACAGGCACTCCTCTCCTTCCACTGCTGATCATGATTTATGTTCTTGCCCCTGGCCTTTGCAGCAGATGTAGCTCAGCTAATAGCAGCGAGGTGGGAATTTCCAGAGGAACTGGGGATTATGCCAGAACTTGATGAGGGGCAAACAGGCTATACTAGTGAGTAGAAGTCTCTCCAGGGAGAAGAGTACTCAGAAAACTGAGAGGAATATAATAAGTACCATAGATTCATTCTGGTTGAGTACTTCCTGACACACCTGAGAAGTTCAGCCCCTCTGATTCTGTCCAAGCTGCTCATTCTCAGAGTCTGCATATACTTCCCAAAGTAGATACTTGCGTTCGGTCAACCACACATTCATTCTTTTATCCCCATGGCTGCTGGGAAGCCTCACCCCCTTTCCTTGCTCATTTTCTTCCTGCTCTCCAGCCTCTTCCCTCCATTCCAAAGGATCCTCGAGAGCCCTTTCCCTTTGCAAACCCACTTCCCTCAATCCTTATTTTATGATGTGGGTGAAAACCCTGAGGACCTTACTTCATTTCCAGTACCCTCTCACAGAGGCTGCTCTTTGTCTGCAAAACCAGAACCTCATTAACCAGAACCAGGCTGTTCTCCTCTTTAGCTGCCTACACCACTTCCAGGCCTTTCTTATTTATTTTCATGAGAAGCCCCTCTACATTCAAGAGACAATGCAGCACTTGAGAACATGGGATTTAGATCTGGACTGTGTTTTGGGTTGTTGGGTAGATTACCCGACCTTTCTGACCCTCTACTTCTACATCTGGAGAAAGAGCATCAGAATCTCATTGGGAAGGTTCTCACAAACCTTTACGACTACCATGTGCCAGGCATTTTTCTAAGTACTGAAAAAAACAATTCCTGCCCTCGTGAAGCTTGTAGTCTCATGAGGCAATAAGTCCTTAAACAAGTAAATATATATTGATTACAAAATCTCATATGAAAGGAATCAGAGGGTCGCTGTGACAGGTTTCATTGGAACTATGACTCAGATGGTGGAGAGAGGTATGGAGGGAAGACCCAAGGAGGTAGCCTGTAGAGGGAGAATGGTGGGGTGAGTAAGCTTTAGGCAGTGGAGCAAGGGATGGCAAGGTGATGGAGGAGCAACTTGATACCTCCCAGAGATGAGAAAGGACATTGTGAGCAGGAGCATGTCACAGAGTGTGGTTAGAGATATAGGCTGAGGACAGAATTTGTGGGACCCGAGTATGAAGGCCAGATGAAGGAATTTTAATTTCATTTTGAAGGCAGTGAGAAGCAGTGATTTTAAGCAGGGGTGTAACATGATGTATGCATTTAAAAGGTCTCTTTGAGGAGGGCAAGGGGTTGGGGGATGGGCAAAAGGGTGAAGGGAGCGGGAGATACACTTGCGGATGAATGAGTCACAGGAATAAAAGGCACAGCATAGGGAATATAGTCAGTGGTACTGTAATAGATTGTATAGTACCAAATGGGAGCTACTCTTGCAGTGAGCACAGCGGAACATAGAGACTTGTCGAATCACTATGCTGTACACCTGAGGCCAATGTAACATGGTGCATCAACTATACTTCAGTTAAAAAAAAGACCTCTCTGAGGATGGCATTTGGAACATAGGATTTATGTGGTAAATGAAATTATATTCACGTGGGCCTCGCTCTCCAGTACTGAATGAGTATAGTATACCTGGGTCACAGTTTTTCTCTCTACCCCAAACTTCTGCTGCCCCCTTCAGTGAGCTCAGCCATCACTCCTACTTCAGAGCTCCCCACATCCACAACGCCCAGACAACTCTTTGGAGCTTCTCAAGAGCAGGGGCCACCCTGCTTGTGAAATCTTGTGTGTCAGTAAACTCCTCTGACCACAATTTAATAACCTCCTAGTTCCTGCCACACCTATCTAGCTCTAGGGCTCCAGAGTGGTAGGAGATGAGGATGGAAAGGCTCTTCAGGCTAGGGCCATGTTGTGCAGGGTTGCTTTGAGGCTAAGGAATTTGAAAATTATCCTATAAGAAAAGAAAAGCCACGCTGAACATTGATCGTTTCCTAAACATGCCATGACACTTGCTGTTCCCTATGCTTGAAATGCCCCCTCTTCTTGGGATCACCTTCGAGCTTCTAGTCATCCTGTGGAGTCTAGCAGTCTCTCATCTCTTCTAGGAAGGCTTCCTTGGAAGTAGAATGTAGCTAATCATATTACATATTGTGTATAACTCTTGGTGTTCTTATGTTGTGTAACCACATGCTGATTTTTGGTCTCCCTTCTAAGTCAGAACTCTCTGAGAGCAAGAACTTGTATTATTATTTCCTCGGTACCAGATGCAAAGGACTTCATTGTTTTTTGAGTTTTCAAGTTCCACTAAAAAATAGAGTACCCTAATAAAAAATTGGCAAATTGAAAGCCAAAGATTGGTAATTTCCTCATCTAACACCATCTTACTTTGCTAAAGTTTATCCACATACCTTTGCTCTAAAAATTGGCACCAAATTCTAAGAAAACATTCTATTTTTATTAGTTTTAATTTTTTGATCCAAATATCAAAATATTCATTAAATTTATCAAAATAAAAAGATTACATCGAAGTCTCATTCCTACCCATGCCTTTTCACCCTTTCCCTCCAGCTGCCATGGATTATTATGTCTATTAGTTTGTGTTTTGTACTCCCAGTGTTTCCTTATGCACGTATGCAAGTATGAGTGCACTGTTTGTGCGGCCCATCTTACATAGAAGAACCTAAAATATATACTGTTTTATTCTTTACTTTTTTTAACATGAAAATTTATCCTAGAGATGTTTCTGAGTCAGTAATTGATAGAGATGTTCCTTGTTCTTTCTTGCAGATGCATAGTTTTCTATTGTATAAATATCACATGATTTATTCAACCAGTCCCCTATTGCTGGATACTTGAGTTCCGATCTTTTAATTTTATAAACAATCCTGCAAGGGATATCCTTGCATAACTGTCATTTCATATTAGCACAAATAATGTATACATATATATGTTATATGTGGTATCTGTATCTATCTATATCTATGTTGGGATTCCTGGAAATGAGATTATTGGGTCAAGACTAAATGCATCTGAAATTCTGATAGATGTTTCCAGAAATGCCTTCCTGATGGTTATTCCATTCCCTACTCCTATCAGCGGTAATTCAAAGTGTCTGTTTCCCCATAGCCTCTCCAGCAGTGTGTTATAGGACTTTTCAGTTTTGCGAATCTGATAGTTGAGGAAATGTAATATTAATTGCATTTTTACTAGTAGAGTTTGGCACTGTTTCATGTTTAGTGATTATTTGTATTGTTTTCCTGTGACCTATCCATTCGTATCCTTTGCCCACATTCATATAAGGTTTGTCTTTTTCTTTTATATATAAAGAGAGAGAGAGAATGTAAGTATTCAGTCTGTGCTACGAGTCACAAATGTCTTTCCTATTTTGTCATTTGTGTTTTGACTTTGTTGATGGCATATTTCTGACCTGCAGAAGTCTTTATTTTTTGTGTATTTACTTTTAACTGTCACCCTTTCTAGATTCTGAATCATAATTAGAAAGGTATTCCCAAGGTTAAAATAAAAATCACCTACTGTTTTCTAATAGCTCTACTGTTTCATTTTTCTACATTTAAATCTTTGATCCATTTGGATCTGTCTGCTTATTCTGAAACATAGCATGAGTATGGAATATGCTTTACTTTTTTCCAACTTGCTCCCCAGTTTTTCCAACACAATTTATTGAAAAGACTATCTTTACTGTTTGATTTGGCATGCAGGCTTCATTTCATACTAAATTCCCATATGTCTCCAAGTCTATTTCTGGACTTTCTATTCTGCTCCATTAGTTTATCTTTTCATAAGCCAATCCTGCATTTTTATTTTGTTTGTATAATTTTTATTTTAAATCCACTATACTTAACATCCAGTGTTATATTAGTTTCAGGTGTACAACATAGTGATTCAACAATTCTATACATTACATAGTGCTCATCATGATAAGTGTGCTCTTTAATTCCCTTAACCTATTTCACCCAACCCCCCATCCACCTCCCCTCTGATGGTTTGGTAACCATCAGTTTATTCTCTATAGTTAAGAGTCTGTTTTTGGTTTGTCTCTCTTCTCTTGTTGTTCATTTGTTTTCTTTCTTAAATTCCACATAGTGAAATCATATGGTGTTTGTCGTTCTCTGACTTGTTTCACCTAACATTATACTCTCTAGCTCCATACATATCATTGCAAATGGCAAGCTTTCATTCTTTTTTATGGCCTAATAATAGTTCATTGTGTATATATACA